CGCGCCGCCTCCTGCCGCCCGCCTCCGGGGCCGCCCGCGCTGGCCCTGAACTTGGACGCCGGCCGGCGCGCCTTTGCCATACAGCCCAGCCATCGGAGCTCCGTCGGCGGCTAGGCAGGGGCGGTGACCGAACGGTCAGATTTTCCGTAGAAATTTAAACACAGGAAAAACCGATTTCATTCCTGCGGGCCCCCTCCAAATATTATTTTTATCCGGGACAAGGGCCCCCTTCGAATTTTTTTCTTTTAGGAATTTTCATATCAGGAAGTAAGACCCCCCACCTTTAAAAAACAAACAAACAAATAAAAGTCCAGGAGGTCGCCCCTCGGTGGCTTTGTCACCCTGGCAGCTGAGGGGAGTCCTCTGGAGCTACTGAGATGAAGTCAGGACGGCTCTCCCTTCCCCTGACACACTCCTGCAGGCGCCTCCACTCGCCGCCTCTTCTGGGGAGGCGCCCCTGGTTTCTGCGGACCCGCCCTCCCCAGGGCGCTCTTGTATCTGTGTGCGCTCCCCCAAGACTGGCATGTCCCTGAGCCCCTGATATTACCCGTGGCCCCCAGTTACGAAGTGCTGCACATTCTGGAACCGGGACTGGGAGCCCCTTACCCACCTCATCTCATTCCACCCACGCCTACCCCGCGACGTCCAATGCAAGTCATTTTGTGGAGGTGCCAAGGAGCAGGCAAACAGGATTGGTGTAGGGCTGCTGACGGTTTTGAAAATCTACCACCTTTCTGAGGAGGGTGGGCCCAGCCGGGACTTTGGTCTCTCCCAACCCTGGCACACAGTGGGGGCCTCATGGGACACGTTTTTAAGCCCCCATCTTTAGAGGGAGAGGCCACAGGTCCCCAGGGCAGCCTCCCTCAGGTTTAGCCCCAAGGTAAACCGGCCCAGTTCTGTTTCATTTCAGGTGTGCCCCACGTGCCACCTCCTCTTGGAAGCCCTCCAGGATTCTCTGCCTTACCCTCAGCTCTCTTGCCTGGTTCTGTGTCCTGAGATCCAGCTGCCACCTCCACGGCAGAACCCGCCCCCCACTCCACTCCTCTCACCCCCCAAGGCTGACTGTCAGACCTCTCCAGCAGGCACTCAGTCACTGCCAAAGGTCAGCAGGCCCCATGGTCCATTTGCCTCCTCTGGTATGTGCATTGCCTGTATCAACAGATCTGGTGACCCCCCCACCCCCCACCCCCAGCCTCAACCCCTGTGCCCACACAGCCACATTCAGTGGTGGTGGGTGATCTCCGGAGCACAGCCGAGGCAGGGACATTTAGAGCCTGCAGACAGGTTGACAAAGCCACTCCCTCAGGCCACGATGTCAAGCAGAATTTTACTCCGACCCTATGACCATGTGTATGTCACATGACAGGGCCGCACAACCCCCACCTGACGGGATGTCGAGTGTCCCACATATGTGTAGTCCAGCATCTCCAGGACAGGAGGAGGCTGGGGTGGGGTAGTGGCCACATCTTATCATTGTATGACCTCCACTTTCTCAGCCATGTTTTGCCAGCCTGGGTGGAGGGGAGAGCAGCCCAGGGCCTCAGTTTTAGTTTATGTGCTCTTGGAACTTGGTGGGATGCAGGGGGCCACTGGGCCCTGGGGCTGGACCCTCTGCCTGTGCCCTAGAGAACAGTTTGGAAAGGCTGTAATGAGGCTGGCCACTACCCACTGGACAGTCCTCCATGGTCGCTGCTGAGCTGAGGAGACCTTCCCCTAAAAGTTCACGTCTTCAGGGTTGGGAAGAAGTAATGATACAGACACCCATGTGCACACACTCACACACCATGCACACACTCTCACATACATGTGCACACGGCCACACATGTTCAGAACACACTCTCACATATGAATACATATACAGGCCTGCACACACTCTCACATACATGTGCACATGGCTACACATGTTCAGAACACACTCTCACACATGAATACATATACAGACCTGCACACATTCACACACACTCTCACATACATGTGCACACGGCTACACATGTTCAGAACACACTCTCACATATGAATTCATATACAGACCTGCACACACTCACACACCATGCACACACTCTCACATACATGTGCACACGGCTACACATGTTCAGAACACACTCTCACATATGAATACATATACAGACCTGCACACACTCACATACCATGCACACACTCTCACATACATGTGCACATGGCTACACATGTTCAGAACACACACTCACACACGAATACATATACAGACTTGCACACACTCTCACACACACACGTGCACATGCGTACACAGGTCACAAACACATGCGCGAATATGCTCACAGGCACATACTCTTGCATGCATGTTCACAACTCAGACACACATACTCACATGCATGTGCACATACACACCAAGGCATACTCTCACAGGCATACTGAAACATGCACATACACATTCACATTCATGTGCACATACCATACACAAGTCTCACATACGTGTGCACACAGACACAAGCACCCACACATGCACACATATGCACACTCACATGTATGTGTATATTCACACACTCACATACCATGTGCATGTACACATGTCCACACATGCACACACACACATATGCACACGTGTATGCACACTCACCCATGAACTTGCACACATGCCGACACACACAGACACATGTACACACACATGCATACACACACTTACACATGTGCAGACAATGCACATATGCAAGTCTCACATGCCTATGCACACACACGCATGCACACATGTGCACACCCACACACATGCAGGTATGCACCCACAGAATTGTGTAACTTGGTTCTCACATTCTTGTTGGTAAACACCCCACGTCTTGTAACCCTAATTCACTGTCATTTTGAATTTATGTTCACGTGGCAGGGGTCTCAAAGAAGTCGGCTAGGTGAGATTTTTGAAAAAAAGAGTTAAAATATTCTTGGCTAATTCTGGGCATATTGGTGTTTCCAAATGTGTGGAAAGTGATACTCAACTGTTGATGAGAAGAGGACATTGGGGCTAACGCCTGCTGGGAGCTGCTGGGCAGGGAGCAGTCTCCTAATCCTCTTGGGACAGCGCCCCCTATGGTTTGGCTGAAGAATTGATGGTTTTAACCTCCTGTTTCTGTGGTTTATCACGGAACCCTGCTGGCACTTGGTTAAGGCGGCTAACTGAAAGGGTGGAAGCTTCAACCCACCAGGCGTTCCAAGTGAGAAAAGACGTAGCAATATGCTTCTGCAAACGGTGACACCTTTGGAAATCCAACTACATTTCCTATTTGGAAACTCCCCTCTGTCCTGTGAACTCACTGGGATGAACTAGGGCCCAACAGTATACCATAGCTGGACTCAAGAAAGCCTAGATTTGATGCTTTCATTCCTAAGTCCTACATCCTGATGCTTCCTCCCTTGGCAGCCAGAGTAAAATCCGCTCCAGTGAGTACGGAGGAAACACAGTGTTTCTGTAGCACTGGAGGCGAACAGACAGACCTGAAGAAAACCAAACCCACTGTGACAAAGAGTGACCCTTCAGAGGATTGCCAAGATGAGCACAAAAACCTCATCTTTCTCCTGCAGAGTGGCTGGTGAGCTTGAACTGCCAACCTTGTGGATTTGGGGCACCAACAAAGAGTAAAAACAGTCATTGCTATCCACGGGTTGACTGGTTCACAGAGGCCCTGTGCCTGAAAGTACAACTGTGCTATGTGGGGTTTCTTACATTTAACGTTTTATAGTGAATCAGGTGAGAGTTAACTGAGCAAATCTGTTTTCTATTCAACAGTTAACATGTATTTTGTTTTATGTCATTGACTGCAATCCTCACAATAAACGGATCACATATCCCACTCCATCCTTTCAGTTTCACTGGGTTTTCGGCGGCTGAGTGTTCAGAAATTGGTCACCATGATTTTCTTCCAAAGCACCTCTGGATGAACTGAGACCTCCAAATTCTCAGTTAGCAGCTGAGCACTTTAATCGTTCATACCACACAAAGACTCCAGAGACAATACAAACATAAAACCAAAACAACAACAAAAAAACACAACTTGAAGCAATCCTACGTGTGTCCGTGTAGAACTGTGTTCTACACAGAGTTCTCAGTTTTTGAGATTTCAGGAAAGATAATCAGGCCTTTCTTCTGAGGTACATCTAGATGTACTGAAACCTTTAACCTTGCCTGTAGCAGCTGTGTGTGTTCAGTTTGGACCACTGAGAGACTCTACGCTCCTCAAAAACCGGGACGGGGAATGGAATTTTTCTAAGTCTAACATCACCCAAGAGCAGGCCCCCCTTCCTTTATAGACCCTTTTACTTTCCTGTTTCCTGCTCCAGTGTCTCTCAGATGGGCCATTTTGTTGGGCTTCTCTGGGTCATTAATTGCTTATAAATAAATGAGCCATCTAAAGAAAGTTGCACCCACTCTGCATTTTCTGCCTTCTAGCTCTGTGATTTTCATTGTAAACGACCCCCAGGGGGTTATTTCATCAGCAGGATCAAGTCCCCATTCATGAGTTCAGAAAAATCAATCTACGTGCCTAAGAGGTACATTTCATTCTGGAAAGTTCTCAGCTCCCAGCTCGCTCCTTTTGGCCACCATACTGCCCTGTAGTAGCCCTGTGATGTCATCCACTGCCAGTCACTTGAATCTCTGCTGACATTTCAGCATTTACCAGGAACACAGGCACCAAGAGAGCAGGGCATGGGGGACAGACATTGAGGAAGCCTCAGGAGTGAAAACGTTGTTGTTGTAAACTGCCTTTGAGTCTGTGC